ACACAGATTTACACTGTTAATAAAGTGGGAAGAAATGCAGCTATTATGTGTATTAAGAGTTCTGAAGTGCCCATGTAAACTTTCTTTCTCCCTTTTAAAAGCTATGCCCTAGGTGAATGCTAGAATACAGATTAACACTACAGATGAGTAATTTAACTGATGTCAATCAAGGAATATTAGGACTACTATAGTGAACTGATGTAATCGGGTCAGACCCACATCTCAGAAAGTGTCTGGTTTAAAGAGTTACATAGGATCTAAATAAGCAAATTGCTTAGATATTTGCTAAATAAGCAAAGACAGACTGCATTCTCTACCCATTCTTACAATCAACTAAACTGTACTTAATACTTTGGTCTTATTGGAATTGACTTAGTTTTAGTCCCTTGCCCATGGCAAAGTTTAAGAGACAGAAGAAAACTGATCTGTGAACCAGTGTTCTTAAGGTTATTTGCAGTGTTTTCTGAAACGTAATAAGTCAACAAAACTAGTCTTATGGCCAATAACCTGGAATGCTTTATTTTACCTGCATCTAAACTGGTGCTGCAGGCTTGTAGTAATTTAGGGGCTTCTTAGCGACTCTTGAGACTGTTCCTCTTTATTTGCAGGATATGTTTGAAAAAGTTAATAAAGCATATGAGTTCCTATGCACAAAGTCTGCCAAGGTGATAGATGGGCCAGATCCAGAAAACATAATTTTGATCTTGAAAACTCAAAGCATCCTCTTCAACAGGCATAAGGAAGGTAAGCATGCTGTCTGTCTCCCTATCATGTTTCATGTTCATTTCTGACCAGTCAGTTTTAATCCCCTCTGTTCTTTTCTGTTGGTCTGGTTTCTGGCTTGCCACAGCATTATGTAGCTATGGTAAAGGGCTTCAAAATAGAACTCTTTTTTTTTTTTCATAAAATAAATTAATCTGCAGTAAAACTTAATTCAAAAAAGCTTGAATAGCTTTTTGAAATTCTCTGCTCCAATACTAATCAGTTTGAATATTCCTTCATATAGAACTTAAATCTACAATTCTGTCTATGCAGAAAACTCCTCGGTAGTATTCAGTCACCCCGATAGCACATCCTGACTATAAATGAGATTACACTTACATGGCTATTTAAAAATGAGAGAGTCTTGCAGAAATAGTGCCTAGTGTTAGTGTCCTCTGGTGAGTGTGCTGCAGTGCTGCCTCTTTCACAGCCCAGCTGCCAGGCAGGGACTGTGGCTAGAGCCAAGGGTCAGGGTGCTCCAGTTACCCCTCCTTCACAGCTGAGCTGGGTGACAAGGAGCCAGGTTGTGTGGACTGCTCAGTCTCGCTCCAGTATTGAGGTGTTGGTTTTGGCTGACTCCTAGTTCTTATTTCTCTGATGTATTTTCCACTCATAATTATGTTGTGGTTTAAATTGCTTAGACTCTGCATATATGTAAACTTTTACTTTTTTCTCTTTCAGAGTTGAAACCTTACAAATATGCAGGCTATCCTATGCTGATAAAGACTATTACCATTGAAACTTCGGATGATCTCTTGTTTTCCAAAGAATCTCCTCTCTTGCCTGCTGCTACAGAACTTGCTTTCCATACTGTCAATTGTTCAGCATTAAATGCAGAAGAACTGCGAAGAGAAAATGGAATTGAGGTAAATAGAAATAAACTTACTGAAATGAATTTTTTTTAGACTTAACTCTTCCACAGCTAAAAATCCTAGACCCTCAGTGCATAAGACATCAGGTATGCTTGAGAATGACTTTTGATCTTGTTGAGACGTGTCCTTTCTTACTGCCTCTGTTCTGGATGCAGTAGAAGAAGCTTCTTGCAGAGTATTACCCCTTTCTGGACCTAGGCTTGTCTGTTGAACAGTGGATAAGCAAACCACGTCTGATGTTTCTCTACTTCTTTACAAAACTCTGTATTTTCTATGTGAAAGAATAGATAAATGTGAACAAATCACTTGAGCAGAAGGGCTTTTCAGAGCACCTATTAGTTCACGTGTGAGAATGCTCTCAACTCTGAAGCACCAAAGGCTAGTACCAGCACTTGCAAGGAGTTTTGTCCCTATAAACCATTTAAGCAAGCAGCAGACTTTGTCAAATGTTTCCCTTCAGCCATTAAATGAGGGTTTACTAGATAGTGTTTTATTTCTGCCAGCCTGTATCAGTTTTTGTTGTGACTTGTGACTGAACTTACGCATCATCCCATCCTCACAGGTGTTGCAAGAAGCGTTTAATCGCTGCGTAGCAGTCCTGACTCGTTCTAGTAAACCAGATGATATGTCTGTGCAGGTGAGTTGCAGCAACCTTAACTGACTGAATCAGTTTACCAGAACATAATATATGTTACAGTATATCTATTATATGATTATAAATATAAGTGTGTGTACATAGAACATAAAATACTGATGTAGTGTTAACTATCTTAAAAAATAAGTTGTAAACATGCATTTTCCCTTCACCTGGAATCAAAGAAAACCTGTTTTTTATAGGTATGTGGATATATTAGTAAGTGTTACAGCGTAGCAGCTCAATTTGAGGAATGCAGAGAGAAGATTACAGAAATGCCTAACATCATTAAGGACCTCTGTAGACTACTGTATTATGGCAAGGTAAGAGCGCCTTTCCTTTGCCTAAATGGGTATTTAACTGTTAATGTTTAGGGGAATGTTCTGCTTTTAAGGGAGGTAGGACAATTGCAGAGACTGATCAGATGCTTCTGTAAGATCCCAGCTAGTCCTTATGGGATACAGAACTCTACTGTCTTGTTTTCCACTAAATGGATTAAAATACAAGTGTTGAGCTTAAAATGCAATCACTACAAAGATTTGGCTACTTTTGCCTCTTAACTGACATGTTTAGCTGATTGGTGTGATGTACTAAATCAGCAGATAGAAGTCCTGGAGCTAGATCTTAGACAAGCAGATAGACTCCTAAATCAGCACAAACTCTGGGAGCAGTATTCAAGAAGTTTTGTTGCTATTTAGAAACTTAGAACTTACCTCATGTTATATCATTGCTGAACTTTGAATCCAGCACAGAAAGCTTGTCTTGAGCTTTTCATATGGGGCATGTGAAAACAGAAGGCTCTAAAACCAGACGATAATAATATACTGTAGATGGTTGTGTGTTCTTAAATCTCTGCAGAACGCAGGTCTTGCCATAGAATACTCACCTGGGAGTCTCTGCTGCTTTCTTGAGTTGTTTTTCCACCAGTTCATCAATGCTTCTTTCTAACCAAATAAAATAACTATTTTATAATAACTTTTAATAAAAGAATATTACTACATTTTAGTTACTTTATAATAAATTTTAATAAATCTTAAATAACTTCTTGTCCTTTGAAGGGTGTGGCCTAATTCGATTCTAATTAGCCATGTTTTTTGTCTACCAGACACTTAACTTGTTATGTCTACTTCAGTTTTCATCTCTGTGCTGCTTAAATGGTACTCTGGAGTTAGCAAATTTTGGCTTTAAGCCTTTGTTTGGTAAGGAAGCCAGATGGCTTTCTGTGGTCACAAGTACTAAAGCAATTTTTTTTCCTCCCTCAGAACATACCACGAGTAGCTTCTTTGGGAGTAGAGTGTGTTAGCTCCTTTGCCTTAGATTACTGGCTCCAAACACACTTGTTCCAAGCTGGAGTTCTCTGGTACTTGCTGGGTTACCTTTTCAACTATGACTATACGCTAGAAGAGAGTGGAATTCAGAAGAGTGAAGATTCAAATCACCAGGTACTGTTAACGAGGTGCACGCTTTCAGACACCAATGGTTGGTGCTTGCCATCTCTTATCAACAACATAATGTGTATTCAAATACACGTTAGAGTCATTGAATTACATGAACAATGATGTTAACAGAGCAGTTTTGGAAGGGGGTTTTGGTGTAGCAGTGCAAATGCTGTTGTTTGAGTTTGGGGTTGGTTGGTGTGTTTGTTTTTTTTAAGAGTAGCTCATGTTTTGAGTTCAAATGTTAAAGCTGCAGTTTCTAATAGACTTAATGCAAGAGATTTTTATGCACAGTGAACAGTAGAAAACTTGTGCTGTCAGAAGAAAAAGCTCTTTTCTCTTAAGGCTGAACCGAAGGGGTTGTCTAGTGATACCATGACCTTATCTGAAATGCCCAGGGCTATATTGTTCCCGTTGCCCCACAGCTGTGTAAGTGACTTCACACTTCCATTTCCTTAAATGGGGATGCTCTTAAGTGTGGCACTTCCTCAGCTGCTGAGCTTTGAACAGTCTGTTGTGGTTATTAACTCCTGTATTGCTGTCATAAAAAAAGGCTTATTTATGGTGATATTTGATGGTGCCAGCAGGAATTGTTGTCTGGTCAGAAGCTATTACACTGAAGAGCTTCTGTGCTTTCAGCTCATCTTGGTGCCCTAGTTTTTCCTACTTATCAGTGCTCGTGTCTAACTGCATTTATTAAGTCCACAACACAGTGATCATATTGAGCTTAATGTTTCTTCAGTGAGCTCTAGCTTTTTTATAACTGCGCTTGATTTTTCAGGAGGTAGCAAATAGCCTTGCTAAGCTCAGTCTCCTGGCCCTGAGTCGCCTTGGAGGGTATCTCTCCGAAGAACAGGCTACACCTGAAAACCCAACGATCAGGAAGAGCTTGGCTGGAATGTTGACACCCTATATTGCAAGGAAACTTGCCGTGGTCAGTCCTACTGAGGTGAGCATCTGTTGGCCAAAAGTTTATCTAGTGATTTATGAAAGGAGAACTTGGTCACTTCTGAAACGCTGAACTCTCTTTGACCAACCTGATGCAGAGAACAGCAGTGTGATATTTATTTTTTCTTTGCAGTTGGAGTAACTGCAAGGAAAACAAACTGATTTAGCCTCAGGCACTATGGACAGGAACAGTACCCTGTACAGTAATATTTGCAAAACAATTATGAGAGCAAAGAAGTTAATTGTTGAAGGTTTAAGGTTATAATGATGACAGAGAGCAACGGCTTAACTTCTCCCTTTAAAAGTGGTACCAAAGAAGTTATCTGCAAAGCGATACTGCAGACAGTTGCTGCTCAGTGTCAAAAATAAAAGGAGAATCTGGAGCAAACAGGGCTTGAAGTAAAGAAAAACTGAAATATATACTGTACTGTCCCAAATAACTTACACATACTGTTTTTTCCAGTATGTCGGAAACTTGACACTTTAAACTTGCTTATAAAATTGGTCTAGTTGTTCATGAGACTAGATTAACTATAGCATGAAACACACTGATTACTGTGCATAATGATCCAGA